CGCCCCTCCAGACCGCTGGCCGCCTGCCCGAGGCGCGCGGTGTCGCCACAGAGCTGCGTCGTGGCCCCTGCGATCCGCGCCGCGCGGCACCGCACTCCCCTACCCTGCCGGGAGCGGCTCTGTCCTCTCTGCGCCCACACGGGCGCGGGCGCTGCCCCGGGACAGCTGAGCGCCAGGACGCAGCTTCCAGGCAGCTGGACCAGCTGTTGCGGTGGCAGCTGACGTGAGCCCTGGGGTTTCGCGGTGCTCCGGCCGGGGGCTCCATGCGTGCAGCCCGTCGCACTCTGCTCTGTACACACGCACGTGTGCGCAGCCCCTGCTTGCTCGGCAGCGTATTCAGCGTGTTCGCTGCTGTCCGAGCGTGCAAGGACTCGCCTTTACTTTCTGTCCTGAGCGGCTGGCGAGAACAGGCGTCCGGTCCCCCCAGGGCAGCAGGCCCATTTCCTCTGAGGGCTCCCTGAGGGTTTGTGGGGTTCTCCGTGGCGGAGCTGTAAGGTCCAGTGGTGGTGCTGGTCAGACTGGGGTTTGCTAGCGGAGAGCAGCCCCTCGAGAGCACCATGCCGGTGAAGCCCAGATTGCTGCAGCACGGCCGTGGGGAGAGGACCCAGGGCTCGGCGGCCAGGCTTGGGTTTGTCGCGGTCGTACCAAAGTGGGGCGTGCGCTCAGTACCCGTGGGGGCGTCCCCGCCCTGCCTGGCAGCCGCAGTGCCGTGGCAGACCGGGATGCTCGCTTGTTCCTGCGGTGCTTTCACTTTCAGAACAAACTAGGAAATTAGTGAAATTAATAGTTGTTGTTTTTGTCTTTTTCTGAAAGTTTGTCCTGCATCCCTTGCTAGGCTGCTTATCTCAGCCCTCGCTCTTTACTGCCTTAAAGTAGTGATTTTCAGCCGGGGCACAGGGCGCCCTGGAGCGACACCAGACCCTTTGAAGGGTGCTGTGCGGTGTGAAGAGATAAGCCAGGTATGAGGAGATAAGCTAAGTAGATAAAGGCAGGCTCGGGTGTGTCCCTGCCTGGGTAATCCCCCCACCCTGGCTGCCCAGCCATTGTAATATATAAACTCACTTTTTTGAAACTGGGTGTTGCTCAATTTGCAGACGTTGTGGCGGGGTCTCAAATCCAAAAAAGGTCCGGAACCAACCACTGCCTCCAAGCAGTGCAACGTACGCACAATTTCACAAGCTGGCTCGGGGTGTGGTGGGGGCAGCTGGGGAGGATGGTCGGGTTTGCCCGACTCTGGAATCGAGACAAGTGAAGATGGTTAGTCCATGGTTCCCTGGGAGTGAGCGGTGTGAGGGACTTCCACCCCTTTCCCACATGTTGAAACTGTGACCCAGACTTTTTTCCTGCTCTGCTAGAGGAGTGACTTGAAGCCTCCTGCCCACCTCCTTTTCCTTCAGGCGCTTTATGCTGCTGACTGTAGTACTGTGCTGTTTAATGAAGTTCACACCCTGCGTTGATGATGAATTGTTACCGAATGTTGTGTTACCAAACAAGCACAGAAATGAACGGAAAGGATGCTTCTTCGTTAAGTTACTACAACGGAAGAACAGAACAGAAGGTCTGTGGAGCTTCGTGTTGGGTCACAGATGAGGTCTGATCTTTGCTGTTCTTGCTGTCCAGCTACACGGTTTGCCTCACAGGTTACTGATCACCTGCGCTGCGGTCTGCACCCTGCAAGTGGTCTAGTTTAAATCACTGGTGTCAAACTCACCTTGCATCCTGCGCTGGCTCTGGACCCTGGGGCTTCCAGGCCAGATCCAGCTTGGGACACGCAGTGGCAGCAACTCTGGTTCTGGCACGGGGGTTACAGTGGCACTGGCTCCAGCATGGCATGGCCATGGGACCAGTGTCTGAGGCGCTGGGGCCGCAGCAGTAGTGACAGACAGAGCTACCTGGGCTGCATCATCCCTGGCTTGCACTGCTGTGGCCAATCGCCGCGTGCACCAGGGTCCGAGGTCCCTGGAGTCTGCAGCAGGCCATGCCTCTTGCCCCACAACTTCTGGTGGCCTACCAATAGCCCAGCAGGCTGGATTGAATGGCTCTGTGGGATGGATCTGGCCCACAGGCAGTGCATTTGGCACCCCTGTTTTAAGTGGGGAAAAGAAAAGAGCCCGTTTCAGCGGAAAGCTCAGCATTTCAGAAAGCCAGGGATCGTCCTTCCTTCCCTGAGAGGATAGGTTGTTTTGAGGCTTCCACAGTGTTTCACTGAGGTATTTACAATCTCTCTTAAGAAGATTATCCCCGTAGGGAGAACGTACCATTCTCCCAGTCCCTTCTAAACGTCACAGAGGGGCAGGCCTTCATCAGACTACTGAAATCTGCAACCAGCTGTGAGTGTGAGCTTTCAGAAAGTTCCAGGGAAATATAGGGAATGGGATAAAATGCACGTGTATGTAGAGATGTTTTTAGTGACTGCTGCCATGTGCAGCACAGTCAACTGTGGTTGCTCTGAGAGTAATCTTGCGTTTATGTTGTCTCTTGCGTGCTTTCTGTTTCCACCGTAACGTGGGCGTTTTGCTTTTGGGACCGTCGGACCATAGTTGTGGACATCTTATGAATGTGTGCAAAACTTGAATTCTTTTTATGGTTAAAAGGGGGAAACAAAAAGTTCTTGTTGGTGGTTTTTTGTTGTGTTTTTTTTTTAATCTAGGAGATCTGGTACTCGGGTAGGTCGAGGTCTTAAATTTAGTGAGCTTGTTTGTAAACAGTGTCAGTCAATTAATTAAAGGAGATTCAAGATAAACATTAGTAAGAAATATTTTTGTTAAAGAGGGAGGCCACTAAAACTATAGAAATGACTAGTAACTTGAGCTTGAATTCTGATTGTTCATATTTTGTGCGAGTCGGAGACTGAAGTGGTCTCATGTCTTTGCTCTTGCCCAAAGAGAGGTACGCAGTGGGTTGAAGTTTAGTGAAGGTTTATCTCTATAAACATGTCTGGGAGCTTCTTTTTTTTTAATATTGTATGTCTTAAATAACGGAATCTAGGTTTCTGCATCTGAACTAATAGCACATACTGTTTGTTACCTTAGTAAGATTTTAGACATTGGGGTACTTATTGTCTAGCTTCAGCGTTATAAGGATCACCTAAGATTGCTGTATGTTACAGGTTTCCTGTCTGCTTACTGAAGAGCATTTCCTGGGCTGTCCATCCTTGCATGGGTCATTGTGCAGGTGCATCTCTGCCTTTCAGGATTGCATATCATCCTGTTGGCAACTTGAGGGTTGTTTAACTGGACAGATGCAAGCAGACAGGCGCTCTGGAGTAGAATTGGGAGCTCGTTTACATCGGATATCTTTTGGTTGATTTCAGGGCAATAGACCCTCTTTTAGTGACATGTCAGCTGGACTATTTAGTAGCTGAAATTAGTGTGTCTAGCCAGATGCACATGTACGAGCCCTTAAGTCGTGAAGAAAAATGGTATTTTGCGTGTGCAATATCTACTCTCGTGCATTTTGGCATTCTCGGCTAATATATTAAATTTGGCAAAGGCCTCATTCCTCAAAGGAATACACTCATGCCAAGTTTCAACTTCAAAACGGAAGTTTGAGTTACTAGATTGCATGAGTGTTTGAAAATATTTCCTGAAGTACGGAACGCTCTTTGCATTAAGAAATGCAGACCTCGGGGATTTTTTTGAGATTCCTCAAAATATACTTACCTTTGAGTTGAGAACCAGCACGAGAAACTTGCATTCCTAAGGATGCATTTGTGTGAAGAGAGGCTTGTAATTGAAGTGCCCCTTCAAGCACGATGCTTGCTTCGTGCTAAGTGGTTCACAACATGGGTTTTGAGGGATATATTGATATAAGTCTGTAGAAGTTTAGGGTGGTGTGCTAATTCATGCCATGTCTTGTATGAATGAATGAAGGAAGAACCAAGCCACTGTAAGGCAAATGTTGAGGATTATATTAAATCAGTCTGTTCTCAGAAATGGGCTTTACCAAAATGTATGCGGTTGTATTTGTCTCTGTCACTTCCCTGTTTGTACCCTCTGTTGTCCTTAGTGACACAGGAAACAAGGAAAGAGATGTTTGTCGTTTTAACTTCAGAAGTGTTTGGTGTGATAGGCTAATAAAAGAGCCACATGGAGCTGATACAGAGGAAAAAGTTTGCTTACCGTATGTAAATGCATTAAGTTACCATGGTTCAGGGTCTGGGCTGGTTACTTCTTAGGGGAGATCTGCAAAAGCAAGCAAACAAAACCCCAGCCTGGAGTGTTGCAGCAAGTAGCCCTGGGGGTTGCACAGGTGGGAGTTTTCCTTTTTGAGTTCAAGAAACAAGCACGCTTGTAAAGGGCGCATGTTTGCCTGAAGAATGGGGTCTTTCTGTGGATTCATAGAAGAGGGCCCTGAGCCCTTGTGATGAAGATGATGCCACTCTTTATGAAGAGTAGGAAGGGCTAGCCCTTCAACTCCCGCCTAAATTGGAACTTTGAACATAACCTTACTTGGCTCTCTTTCACTGTCAAATGGAGAAGTTCTTCTTCCCTTATGGACAAACTGTCCTGTAATGTTGCTGGTGTAGTGGCTGCCTTTTAGTGGCTAGTAAGTGATCAGTAAGGGTTGTATTTATACGTGTACAAGTCGCACGTATTTAAACTGTGCACATGCAGTTATGGCTTATGCGTCTGAGGCTTGGTGAGTGTGCAGTAGAAAGCAAAGGACGCTGATAGCACATCAGCATGCTAGACCTGCCTCCTTCCCCGTGAGTTTGTCTGTTCACTTTAGCAGTTGTTTTGAGTACACACTGCAGCCGCCTTCCTGCACTTTTCCCATGTCCCACAAAAATTACTTCAAGGCGTGATTTTATAGAGTGGCTGAATGACCAGAATGCAATACTGCTGTTGTATAATAAAACTTCTCCTGCTGCACCTTTTCCTTCATCCAAATAGGACTGCTTATCTGAAAATTAAACATTTTTTCATCTGAGATGTTTCATCTCAGAAGTTGAAGGAATAACTTCTAGTCTCTAAAATGTGGGTTTATTTAGAGAGCTGAAAACGGCCTTGCTTCCCACCCTGAAGTTCTAAGTAGATAATTTGGTGTGATATATGGAGGCTTAAATCTCATCCCTTTGTTGTCCCGTGTGTTGTCCATAGTCCGTCCCCCGTGTCCTCCCTCCCCGTGTGTGGACAACTTGCTAAAAAGATAGTGACAGTTCTTCAGAAAGTGACATGCATCCCCTTCATCCGTCCTTCGGTAGATTGTGCTTTGCATAATTTTAGCAAGCCAAAGAGAGCATTTAAATAAAACGTTTGACCCCCCCAACTCTGTGTTTCCATGGCCTTTGGGCGCCTGTACACATGCAAATGCTCTGGACTGGGTTTACTCTGGGCTAAACTCACCCCAGGCAGACGTCTGCATGTACAGGGAAGCAGAAGCAGATTTGCTGTTCATGGCAGCAGTATGCTCCTGCAGCAGCCAGGGGCAGCTCTAGGCTTCCCGTGTGTGCCTGCCCAGGGGGCTGGTGCTGGGATCATGGGTCCAGGAGACAGCTGTCCCCTGCCCCCAGGAGCTGCCAGGGTAGGCTCTGCCACCGTGGGGACAGTGTCCCCCTGCCCTGGCAGCAGGCAGCTCCCAGCCCTCACTCCACAATCACAGTTGCAGAGCTGGGAGATTCCTATCTGCCGGCCATAGCTCTGCAGTCGTGGGGCCTGAGCTTGGGAGTTTCTTATCTCCCAGCCTGGGCCCTGCAACTGCGGAGCTAGGGCCGGCAGACGAGAATCTCCCAGCCCCCGCTCCCTGATCGTACTCGTGAAGCGGCGGCTGGGAGCCCCATGTTGCAGGGGCAAGGGGACATTGTCCCCTCAGAGGCTGTGGTGGTGGGCAAGGAGCAATGTCGCACCCCCTGCTGCCCAACTGACCAGGAGCACATTTAGTCCATCAGCTGTCTACATGTGCACTACTGTGCAGGAAGTAATCATGAGTAAATTTGCTGCTTGCTTACTGCACAGTAATTTGATCTAATCTCAAGTAAAGCATCTCATGTAGATGTACGCCCTTCAGTACTAAATGTTTGTTAGAGATGCTCTTACTCTCTGTTTTTATTGGGGGATACTAATGGGTATGAGAGTTTTTTAAGACAAGTAGTGAAGCTAGCTGTCCTATAAAAAAAAGTTCTTCTGTACTCTACTGTGTATGTACAACTGGACTTCTCTGTAATTCACACTAAAGGTAGCTCCTCAAATGCTGGGGAAAAGCCAAAAAAGCAAATGTAGTTAAAAATACGATTCGGCCTTTAGAAAATTCCATGCGAGGATCTCAGAACTCAAGGATTTTTGTGTCCGAATGCTTATGTAAAGCAAGTAGTATTTCCATTTTACACGTGGCGAAAGTGGACTATGTAGGGTAAGTGCCTTACGTTCCACAAAGTCTGTAGGGTGGCTGGGAACAGAACGGTTTTGTTCAACGTCTTCATCAACAACCTGGAAGATGGGATGCAGTGCACCCTCAGCAAGTCTGCAGATGAGGCCAAGCTGTGGGGAGCAGTACATACACTGGAGGACAGGGCTAGGGTTCAGGGTGACCTCAACAAATTGGAGGATTGGGCCAAAAGCAATCTCATGAGGTTCAACAAGGACAAGTGCAAAGTCCTGCACTGAGAAGGGAACAGTCCCCTGCCCCGGTGCGGGCTGGGGACTGACGGGCTGGGCAGCAGCTCTGCAGAAAAGGACCTGGGGTGACAGCAGGCAAGAAGCTGAACAGGAGCCCGCAGCGTGCCCTTGTTGCCAAGAAGGCTGCCGGCATCATGGGCTGCGTTGGTAGGGGTGTTGCCAGTAGGTGTGAGGTAGTGATTCTTCCCCTCTGCTCAGCACTGGGGAGGCCACATCTGGACTCATGGTCCCTTCCAGCCCCCATCCCAAGCCCGCCAATTTTGCTGTGGCTTGGGATGGTCTAGATGCTCTTACCGTAACTTGTTTTTCTTGTGCCATCCACAAAGAAGCTTTTTAAATATTTTTGTTGTTTTAACTTTGGAAGCTTTTGAAGCACACGATCTTGATTTGCTTCAAGAGAACAGTATGGCAGTGGTCTGTAATCGTACAATATGTTACCTGATGACGTGGTAGCGTGCTAGAGTTCTTAATTTATAGTCGCAGAGGAAGCGTGTGGTCAGTCCCATGTAAAAGTAGGACAGTCTTTTAAACTTCATTGTAATTTAGATTTTTGGGGACGGGAAACATTTTTCTTCCTCTGGCTTCATGAGTAAAATATTACGTCCCGTCCTAAAACGTACTTCACGTTTTTACCAGAAAATTAACTTTTCGTTGCATGTTAAGGTTTGATGCGAGTATTCCTTTCTTCCTATGAAATAACCCTATTTTGACAGTTTTCTCAGTAAGGAACTTTGTCCTTGGGAGAGTATAACTTGGTTTCCCAAGAGCTTAGATACTGAGTTACACTGCTGTATCTTCAGGCTAGCAGAGTTGGGGACACGAGATGAGGTGTTGTGTGTAGTGTTACTTACAGTATTTGAAAGCTAGCACTGAAAATGAAATAACCGGCAAGCGGAGAAGTTAAGGGTTTTTTAAAGACGTTATAATCCACTAAATAGAATATTGTGCTGGCTTTACTGAATATACACAGTTTTGTAAATGTAGTGCTTCAAAGAAAGTCCTGAGGCACCTCGTCTTCATGGCTTGGGTGCACACTTCCCGTGTAGTCCTGTTGTTGTTTGTCCTATTGTAGCTTCTTGTGATCTGAAATAGTTACTTGTTTTGTCTCTTTTATTCACGGGCAAGTTTTTTGCCCCATCTTTTAAAGGGCCTTGACTTTCTAATGCTACTGTATCGTGTGAACATGCGCTTCAGATGGGAACCCAAGAAGCACTTGAATACTGTGCCTGAAAATTGTGAGGCTCAATCCCCCCCTCCGCACGCACGCGCTTTGTCATCTGCCTCGTGATTTAGCGTAGGAGAGCTGCTGTCGTAATAAGGACGGGTTTTTGCTGCGATGTTTCATTTTGTCACAGGGCTCCTTAACGTGCTTTAGTTATCGCTGGTCAGTGAAAGTGCTTTGCTTTGCATATCTAGACCATTGGTTTATTACAGCATCTCTCCTGGAATTATCACCTGTTCGTCCATAGCTAACTGAGCTGAGCTTTCGTTTGTGAGGACAGTCCCAAAGATCTCGTTGCTTGGGAGACTCCCAGACATAAATGAGCAAGCACTTCTTGTTCATTTGGGCACTGACATTGTTGATCGTTTCTGGAGATAATCACTGTTACAACATCATTGTCCTGAGCATGTGTTGACACTGCAAGGATCTTACTAACTTCCTCTGCTGCCCTGGAGTAAGGGCGCTGCTTCTGTTTCAAGTACTCTGGGGAGGCTGTTATTAATTCTGAAGCTTGTCTATGTGGGCACGTTTTTAAAACGGATTACTTTAACCTGTCTGAGGATCTCCATGGAGACAGGAGCCTAGCCTTATTTGAAAGCTCCGCCCTTCAAGAGGGATTTCCTTGCCGAATTTAAGGTTGGATGACATAGGTTTTAACGCGGTATGCGAGTGTCTTGTCTGTGATTCCTAGTGGGTTTTTTTTCCAATTTCCAACGCGCATTGCGTATCGTAAATCAAGTTGATGTTGTCCGTACCCGGTTCATTTCTTTGCAGGTACCGTTACAACTCGCTGAGAATTTAGCTATGATTCAGGAAACCCCCGCGGCACTGAGGCGTACCTTGGAAGAATCGATGACTAGAGCATAAGCCAGTATTTCCGAATGATAGAATTGTGTAGTTGTTAGCGGTTGTACCCGTGCTCTAAATATTCCCTGCAAGAGGGCCTGGATGTGCAGCTGATAATTAGTGACTTGAAACCTGCATGTCTGTTGTAGTCTTATCCTTCCTTCCAAACCATCCTTTTTGAGCATGCTTCAAAACTGTGAGCATTTCACTACAGTTATACCCCTTATTCAACCACCTTTCCGTGGAGTAGTTCATGGTAGGCAGCCTCCAGGTTTTTGAAGGCAGGGAATGTTGTCATGCCGTAGCAGGGTTTATGGAAACAAACTGAGTAGTGTGACACCCATTTCTTTCAGGTACGTGACCCATTAGTTTAAATGTAATATCTTCCAGAAACTTTTCCTGCCATGGTTTGTGCCCCTGGGTTTAGTTCTTGATGTGTTTCGCAGGGGCAATTACTTAACTGATCTCCATTGACAAGTCAAGGTCATCTTTTTCTGTAGGCTAGTTCTGCTCGTCTTCAGGACACCTAACAGAGCAGACTTAAAAGTCAAGAAGTCATTTGAATGTCCTTCCATCAGTTTATCTTGGGTTTCTTCCCCTTCTCTGGTGCATTGGGTGCCATTCAGACTTCTTCACGGACAGTACGGCAAGACTACTTCACTGACAATACAGGTTGATTTTGTGTTATTCAGAAGTCGGTGAAAGACTTCACATGTTGCACTGCAGTTCATAAAAAGCGGGATTTGTCCACTGGAGGGGGAAGGCCTCTTTATCAGCTTGCCCCTTTCCAAAAGCTTTGGCTGAAATCCTGCTGTGCCTGGACCTGTTCAGGTTTGTAACGATGATGCTGTTAATCTTAGTTCGGTTTTCAACTACCTGATCAAATTAATCAGCTTGAAGATGGTTTTATATGTGTATTCGGATTATTATATTTTCCTCTTAATCAATATGCCAGAATCATAAAGGTTTTCATTCTATTTCCCCCCCCTCAAAACTAAAGACAGGTGCAATTTTTTGTGTTGCAGTTGGTGTCATCAGGTGTCCAATATGCCGCCAAGAATGCAGACAAATCGACCTTGTGGACAACTACTTTGTGAAGGACACATCAGAAGCACCGAGTAGCTCTGATGAAAAGTCAGAACAGGTGAGGTTTTTCTCCATTTCTTGCTGAAAGTCGTGTCCTCCTTGGTGCATGTGTTTTGTACGTCGCGTCATCTAAAGAAACAAAGCACTTTTACTGCTTTTTATTTAGATTCAGTGAAGACCGTATGGGGAAAGAGTATCTCTCCCTGACTTTTGTTTCTGCTTTTAGGTGTGTACCAGTTGTGAAGATAATTCTAGTGCTGTTGGTTTTTGTGTGGAGTGTGGGGAATGGCTGTGCAAGACGTGCATAGAAGCTCATCAGCGAGTAAAATTTACTAAAGATCATATGATCAGAAAGAAAGAGGATGTCTCTTCAGGTAAGCTTGCTGATGTCTTACTTAGCCACCTGTAGCGTAGGAATAAAAACCATAGTCAATTCTTCTGTGTACGTGTGTCATGGGAAGGATGAGCTGAATGCTGATCGGGAGCGTAAGCTTCCCAGAAGGATAGGGACAGATCCAGATCAGTGTAACTGGCGCTGCCTGAAGAGTGGAGGAAATTTCTAGGTGTGAAATGAGCTGAAAATGGCTTGCTCTGATAATGCTTCATTAAGTGAAAGGTTTCATGATGGAGTGTGTAAATACAGAAAATGAAAGGGGGCGAGGCTGTCACCTGGTAGAGTTTGGTCAGGAGAGCGTGAGGGGCACCCCTTTAACAAAGGAATTGATTTGCCTGCGCAGTCTGTACCATGCCGGATGTCCTTCATGACAAAGCTTTTAGTGCCGTGGAGTCTGTCCAGCTGGGGTAGAGTGAATAGCCTTCTGATCCGGCCGATGCATCAGTACAGTTATTAACGAAGTCTCTACTTCGGCGCTTTTCTGGTTCCCTTTGCCAGTAGGAGCCAAGGGCACTTCTGGGGAACTGGTAGTTTTCTTTAAGAATGGGTGAGGTCAAACGCCAACACTGTTGCATGTGCTGATATCCATGTTTACTTGTAGCCTGTGAGCCAGGACCACAAAGTTAAAGGTTCTTCTCTACAGCCCTTTATATGCTGGGGGTTACCTGCCAGAGGCTTTCATGAAGGCTGGAGGTAGCCTGTGGCCCTGGTACAGTAAACTAAAGGATGTCACTGTGGCATCAGCACCGTTAAGCAGAGGTGGAATTTGTGGTACGCTTCTAGGACCATCACAGTTTGTTCTTTCATAGTTTCATACTAGCTAGGGTCAGGAGGGACCTGAACAGATCATCTAGCCTGACCTCCTGCCACAGGCAGGAACGAATGCTGGGTTCACAAGACCCCAGACAGGTGAGCGTCCAACCTCCTCTTCAATTTGCTCAAGGTAGGAGCGAGGACCACTTCCCTGGGAAGTTGGTTCCAGATTTTGGCCACCCTAACTGTAAAATATTGCCTTCTGATCTCGAACCTAAACCTGTTCTCCATCAGCTTATGACCATTGTTATTTACTACCTGCACTTTCAGTTAGCACAGTTGTGCTAAATTACACGCATGAACGATATAAAATTGCATATTTAAATTGGAAGTGTCAGTCCTTTAAATTATCGTTCTGCTTCAGAGTGCACAACTTAGTGGAATAAAATAGGGACAATCCCGCTCTTCTTAGTGCTGTCCCCAGGGTGTGCCTCACAGCTCTGCCTTTGATTCGTTTCCTTGCAAACAAGGGCAAAGAGCTGTCACTTAACAAGTGTTGAGCCTACAGAACCGGGATGTATTGTCGGGCGGTAATTAGGGCAAGACAGACAGGTGTAGATATCGTGCTTGGAAAACAGTGAGGACATGTAACTGAACTGTGTGGTTGCCGTTTTGACCATGCTGCAGGAACTCCTGGCTGTGCCAACATCATTACTGATAACCTACAGCATCTGCTAATGCTGAAACGTGTACCTTTGCAAAGAAAATTGATTTTTCAGGAAATTTTTATTTCTGCTTCAAATGTTACATCAACTGCTAATTTATAAAACCTTATGTGGGTATGTGTTCAAAATGCTAGATCCTATTGGAAGTAGCCCAGCCTAGTAAAGTCACAGTAAGAGAGGCTACCAAAATAGAAATGATGCAGTTCTTGATGGAACATGGTATGAAAGTTATGACTGTCAGGATAAGCGGACCTTTTCTTCTTTAGCACTTTGGGCAAGGGGTTGCAGGAAAACACCACTTGAATATTTAGAACTGTTCTACTATGGTAATCTTTCCTTCAAAAAAGAAAAAAGAGGTTGGCATTTATGAAATGCAAAGAGCCTAGAGCCAGAATTTGCATTCCCTGCAGTACAAATGACATACAGTTATACTTGGTGATATCTTCAGGTATAGTGAATGATTTACTCGTTTACACGCTCAGAGGAAACAATCTGTTGTTTCTCTGGTATTCTGGCCATGTGAAATAATGCTGTGAAGTCTTTCAAATTCCTTTTAATAGTCTTAATTTGGGTTTCATGAACTGTCTTTCATTGCAGTAACTTGTCTGATATAACAAGCTTCAGAAAGTACTTGACAATCCAGGAAAATGTTCAATCGTTTTTTCCCCCTCTTTAATCTGTATCTGCTTGATCTTCTAAAGACTGCTTCCTTACCTCCAACCCCCTCCATAAGCTTCTTCTAAAGAGATTTGGGTAGTATAGAAACCCAGACAAATATTTCCCCTTACCCTTCATCTGGTTGGGTGTAAAATTACTATTATCCAGCCCAGGTGGAGTGCAAATAACTAGATGGTTACTAATACCAAGTTCCTGAGTATACACAATATATACACTGACATGAATTGAATCAGTCGTTTGTGACTTACTGCTGTTTGTCAGGGTTTGGAAGAGGTCACTTAGAAGACCCCAGGGTGCTTGACAGCGTAAAAGTTTGAGGCACACGTGAAGCGCCCGCGCGTCTTTAGAACCGAGCAAAGCCACGTGGCCGTACTGCGGGATCACGGAGGCTTTGGTCAGACGTATCTAAGAGAATCCTAGAGGACTGACTTGTGGGTTTTTTTGGAAGAAGCGGGGAGCCCTCTTTTTCTTAAACTATAACAAACCTGGAAATTCTTCATAACCACTGTAAATATTTTAATGAATGCATATTTACAGTCACTTACACAGCCGAGGCTGAGAATAGGTTTGTAATTGGCTTTGGCAGAGCTCTCAAATCTTACTCATAATGGCAGTTACCAACTTTGCTCTTCAAACTGTCTTAAACTATATTTTAAAATGCGAAAATGGTTTGTTTTTAAAAACAGAGGCCGTGGGAGCATCCGGTCAGCGTCCTGTTTTCTGTCCTGTCCACAAACAAGAACAGTTAAAACTTTTCTGTGAAACATGTGACAGACTGACATGCAGAGACTGTCAGTTATTGGAACACAAAGAACACAGGTACAAATATTAACATGTCTTAACTCCTGTGGTGCCTTTTCTTAGAAAAAGAAGTGAAGTTAATCTCAAGCATTTGTGCCTTGAAAAACTGCTGCATTTATTCTTCACGGGACTGCAGTGCTCGCTTGGACAGGGAAACCCTGCTAGGGGTACTGGAAGTCATAAGGGTAGCGCGCTAGCAGAGCTACGCTGGGCCTCCAGGGGTGGATGCAGAGCTGCTAGTCAGGCGTGCTGTGAACGGACAGTGGCGGTTACAGCGTTAACCTGCCTGGTATCTGCTAGCTTGGCAACTTCAATCAGGTCACAAATGAAATATTCATAAAATATAATTTGGCACAAGCCTGTATCTTTAAAGTCAATGTTATTTTTAAAAAAAGCAAAGTTTATAGTAATGAATCACGGGAGAGGTTGCAATGTTGGTAAAGGCATATTTTAACATGTGTACTGTAACAGTTCTTCAATTTAGGATTAAATCGTGTCAAGGTTTGTGTCATAGATTAATGTATTTTCCCAACACAAAGGGCTAAAGCCCTCCACCTGGTCTTGGTCTACTGCTTGATTTTTTTTTTTTTAAACTGGCCTTATTCCCCGTCAAAATGTTAACTGAGAATTTGTTTTCCCCTCTTTGCATCCGCTGAAGAGCAGGAGAGACTAGTGAGGGTTGTGCTGTGCAGTGGTACGAGAAAGACGTTCATGCGCATACTTGTACATTCAAATCACTGGCTCTACAGATCAACCCTGATCCTTGGCGTTAGCCAGCCCTTGCCAAACCGCCTGCAGCACTCGAACTCTGGACAGCACGTATATCATACCCCTGGCAAGCTGCTCTTCAAGTTTATTTGGAAAATGCTTTGAAATGGCTAATTTTGGCGGTTTTTCTCATCTGCCCAGTATATTCAGTAACCTTATAGAATATTACGGCAGTTAAACACTCTTCACTTTAAATTCTAAATTACTAGAGTTTGATAACTTAAGCCACTGCGAGATCTCTGGTCAAGTTTTTTTCATGTTGTAAGCATCCTCAAAATGCAGTTGTCCAAAATTTTTGGTCTCCAGGGTTTGCTAACTAGTGCTTGCTGGGTAGCCTGTCTCACATCTGCCTGTTGTGCACGTGACGCTAACTGATTAACAATCCATAAATAGATGCATCTCGTTCTGCAGCATACTCTCTTCCATAAGGCTTCTCTGATAACCTCCTTTCAGTTACCCCTAAATAGAAATGGTCTGTAAAATGTTTCTTCTGTGTACAGCTGCAAATTGCAGCTGGGTAAGACGGCTGCCTCTTTTATCATTAAGTGATAAAAGTGAAATTGAGGACTTTTATAGAGGTCAGTAAAAGGTTGAAGCAAAATCATAGCAGGTGAAAACAAGAACTGATTTTTATCTTCTGCTTATTCCTCACCTGAAAACCTAATCCTCTGTAACGAAGCAGACCTTTGAAATCAACATCTGAGCAGCCGTTCCATTTCTAGAGACCTTTAAGGGTGGGAACCAGTGGGCATCGCGTTGTCCTGGAGCAATAGACACACATTGAGTTGCTGGTTTTTAAGTCCTTTGCAGCAGAAGTACTTTAGAAACCCCAGGAAGACTGTCCTTATTCCAGTAACTCTTATTGCATGAGTTGGGCCAAAAGTTTCATGATAAGTAATTTTAGTGACATTTAGCTGGGTCTTTCGTTGTGGCATCTTTGGTAAAAATAGATAAAGAACATGTGCGTTTCTGGTTGTTCAAACAGGTCTTTGAGAGCTGTTGCATATTTGTGGGCCATGAACCCCATTAGTTTGTAATGGCTTGGCAGCTACAAGCTGCTCTCCTGGACCAGGACACTAGGTTCTTGCAACAGTTCTTGAAATACCCATAGGTAGGGATGACGTTGGTGCTGATTTTGAGATACCATACTCTTGTATTTCAAACCTGTTGCTGGTTTCAAGTGGATAGCAGTTTGCAAAAAAACCAAAAGCAACACCAGTCTGGTATAAGTAGCAGTCCCTTGCCAAAGTGTTTATTGCACAAGCGTGATCCAGTTGAAGCAAGGCGTTTGCATTACCTTAATTATGGATCCAGGTGTTTCTCAGGATTAATTAGCCAGGCCCCAATTGCTCTTTTAGTTTCCTTATGAAACTTACTCCTCTGATCAGCGATAGCTTTTGAGCAGAACATTGATGCTTCTGATCTGTCTCGAAACTATTTTTCTTCCATTTGCTAAAACTTCCTGACCTGAAAAGTGCTGGCACTTTCTGTAGTGAGGGTGGTGAAAAGCATATTCTGGGACTCTTGGGTAGGATTCCTTATGCCATTGCTACGTTACGCCTGAGAAGTTTGAGGTTTACATACAGCCAAGAGAATGATAACCAAGTCATTCCCTTTGGAAGTCCGTAAGCAGAGTTTTGGGTGACGCGCTGGAAGGCATGTGACAAAAAAACAAATCGCAGCTCTTCCAAGTTTTAAATTCTCCTTTTTATCCTTAAGTTACTTGTCCTGCTTCTCTTCTGTCCCATCTTGCAGTGCCCTGAATTAATTAGGAAAACACCCCTCATTTAGGGTAAATGTAGCAGAGGGCGTAGTTTTTATCCTGCCCCCCCCCCCCCCCCAAAATACTGAGGGGAAGCTGTTGTAGACGCAGTCTTTTCTGTTGGATTTTTAGCATGTGGGCAATTATAGAGCAAAAAAGTCTTTCGCGTGGGGAAAAACTGAAAACGTAGCAGCATTTGACTTAGGCTGCTTTGGTCAAATGTGAATAGCAGTCTGAGAAGTGAAATTAATTTTCTTTGTCCTTCCTTGCATTCAGTATACTTTGGTGTTTTGTGCGTGCAATGCATTTGGTCTATGTCTATCTTTTAATGACCAGAAGGTAGCCTAATGCATTTTTTTTTCTTCGTGGATTCTTCCAGGGGCTTTCTTTCTTCAATATTGATAAAAGATAAAATTTTCATTCGTGTTAATTCTGGACTTGTTCTCTTTACCGTCTGTCCAATAAGCTGCTATGCTGTGAACTGTAATATTTTGTCCTTTCTCCCTGTGCATACATGAGTTATTTGAACATGCTCACACACATTGATACATGTGGAAGTTTGAATGTTCTTTTTTCAGGAGCTTTACGTAGGCCTTTATTGCACCATTCAGAAGTGTTGCAAATTGAACATTAATAACCACTTTGCAAAATGTCCCTTACAAATTGAAAAGTGTTAATTTCAATGCACTGTTCCATAATAAATGGTGTCCTCTCTTGTGGCTTTGAAAGGTATCAGTTTTTGGAAGAAGCATTTCAGAATCAGAAAGGTGCAATTGAGAATCTGCTAGCCAAACTTCTTGAAAAGAAGAATTATGTTAATTTTGCAGCTACTCAAGTCCAGAATAGGTAAGTACCTGCAACAGTTCAGAAGTTAATTAGACGTGTTAATGCAAGTGAACAGGGACCTACAAAAGTGCTTCAATTCTACTTTGCTCTCAAGTCGGTCGCAGTGGGCTTGCATGTGGAGTGCTTTCCGTTCTGCTGCGTGTGGGCCGCAGGGCGGTGGGAGACCAGTGGTTCAGAGATGCCGCACCAGTACAGTCGGAGTTGTGGCATGATTTCACTACGGAGTAAAAGAACCTCTACTGTTGTGGTCTCTGCCAAGTACCAGCCACAGGGCTCAATGCATCCACTTTTCAGACACCTTTTAGGGCAAAAACGGACTCTTTTTTTTTTTTGTCCGGGCATAGCTGATCCAATTGATCAGCAGAAACGGATGTTGCTGAGCCATCTGCACCCCAACCCATGAAACTTGCACCTTGGGAAACCCCTGCAAGGGGGTTCCCGGGGTTCTTGTTTGCAAGTGGGGGAACCCCCAGGAGGTCTGGGTTTGGCCACACCAGAGTGAAAGACAGGCCCTGGGAATCCCCTGCAGGGAAATTCTTGGAGTGGAGTGCGCAGTAAGCAAACAGACACCCAGTGTCATAAACTGCGACTGCCTTTGGTCAGGCACGTTTTGGGGCACTCGGACCGTGACAAGGGAGGTCTGTTCGCTCACAGCTTGTGCTGCCATAAAAACGTTTATGGCAGCACCAGGGTGATGTCTGTTTGCACCTGTTGTGCGTGCACAGGGAAAGGAGGATGCTCCTAGAAAACTTTCTATCGTTCTTTGACAAGTTCTGCCTCCCAACTCCAACTTCTTTCAAATGGTGAATAGGAAATTTGACTTTCTTTGAGTAAACAATATAATGGGCAAGGTTTGAAGATTTAAGCCATTTGAAGTACATTTCTCACAGTAGAACACATGAAGTAGAGATCAAATAAGAAATTGGAAATAAAGACACTACTTCACACTTGTTCAAGTGGGGAAAAATTTTAAAAGGAAAGCAATTAATGTCCAAAGATGAAAAGAAAACTCCACACTGTTAGGATCTGAAATCAGTCTATGTAAGCTTTTTCTCTTTGTCTGAGAATTGAATTCCAGATGACTTCCCCTAATAAGCTCGTACCTTCTAGGTTGGGGTGCTCAAACCACAGCCCACAGGCCGGATCCAGCCTGCAGAGCTGTATCGTCTGACCCACCGGCCTCCCCTGGGGTCTGGCAGGTTCGCAGAGAGGGAGCAGTGGCAGTGTAAATTGCCGCTTCCCTGCAGCTGGATTTCCAGATCTGTGGGGAGCTCCACGGACCTGATAACATGGCCCTGCAGTCTAGATCGTGTTGGCATGCAGCCAGATGTGGTAGGCAGGTGGCACGCAACCCGTAGACTGACCCCACGTTACTCCTCTGGCCCGAGGGGCCAAAAGGTTGGGAGTCTGCTTTGGATAGAAAATAAACAAGCTGCTATTCTGCATTCATCAAATAATTTAATACAGAAATTGCCTCTGCTATCCAGGGGTACAGTTATGGTGTGTAGTATTGGAGGCATGGTGTAATGAGATTGCTTGACAACATGTTTCTACTTTTTTAGGATAAAAGAAGTAAATGAAACTAATAAACGAGTAGAACAAGAAATCAAAGTGGCCATTTTCACCCTCATCAATGAGATCAATAAAAAGGGAAAATCTCTCTTACAGCAGCTTGAGGTACTGTTAAAAGCAAAAAAAGACTAGCTTTGTTCACTGCCTGAGTGCGCAGCTTGTTCTGTATAACGACTTCAGTATCAGAATTACCCCCGAGTTGTACGTTCTGGGAGTTGAAGTTCAGCTCACTGAAGTGGAACGCTTCCGAACTTGTGCCTCTGTCATGTTCGTGCTTTAAAATTTGCTCCTTTTCATAAGTCTGATGCGCCACTTCCCCCCCACCTCTCATGTACCCCTAGTGTCTAGAATATACCTTAGTTAGGTCTGCAAAATCTGCTTCTCTGAAATGGTAAATTCATACAAACGTGACGTTACTGTGACTCCTCAGTTGCTTGCTTTTGTTGCTTACCTTTCTGAGGCCTCATTCAAAACTTCCAAAAGGGTCTGCACCTCGCTTCAAAGCCTTTTTTCATTTGGGGACCCCTAAAAAATTTGGAATGGAGGTGCAGACCCTTTTGGAAATTCAGATTTTGATTGATCATAGTCATCTTTCATGGACCCCTTAGACATAGTCTGCGGACCCTCAGACTTCCCTGCTCCTCCCCAAGCACGGCTTCCTGGCTGCATTGGTGCACCATGGTCCTGACTAGGGTGAAATGTTGATGTTCGGCAGTTGCGTTGGCACGCTCCTGACAACACCAGTGAGAGAGGAAGCGGCAGCGTTCAACAGCTCACAACTGCTAAATGTGAAGGGAACATCCTGTCCCCCTGGATCTCTGAATTTTGAAGTGTTCTGAAGAAAACTGGAGTTGTTAGGACTTCATGCCAGTCTCGTATAAGAGAAAGCATTAGGAAGCTGAAATGCAAGTATCGGACCAGCGCCCTGTGCAACCTGTGCTTTCTTAATCTTGTGTATAAGAGTTGTGATCCAGGCGTAGAAGACTTTTAAATCTAAACAGCGAATGTGATTTTCTATTTCTTTGTAGAATGTGACGAAGGAGAGACAGATGAAGTTAATACAACAGCAGAATGACATAACTGGTCTTTCACGGCAGGTGAAGCATGTGATGAACTTTACTAATTGGGCCATTGCAAGTGGCAGTAGCACTGCACTACTCTACAGCAAGCGGCTGGTAAGGAAATGGCCTTGTTGCAATTTGGTTACTCGCGGGTATAACAAAAGAGAACTTTACTATCAAAGACATTTTGGAGACGTAGCTGTGTTTCACCAGCTTCCTTCCAGCAAATGGAGAACTAGTTCTTCACATGCCATAGAAGAAACCATGTAACCTTTGTGATTTCAGTAGTAATGAAAGCAGGTTTGTCCAACCCCCTGCTAGAGTTAGCTTACGTTTCGACGTGTAAGTTGCATTATAATGAAAGGAGTAAAAGCCCAGGTCCGCAAAGTTACTGGGGAATTTGCAGAAGTGCACTTCCACTTAGTCATCCGTGTAGAAAGTGGTAAGACTTCCTCATGTGAACAGTGATGGTGGAAGTCAGTTGTGTGGAGGATACTGAAACTATTGATGAGCTGAACTCTTCTTGGATGATTGGTGGATAACTACCCTCTCTCACCACTGTAATTCTATCATGAGTTAATTGGCTATTAAAAGTTATTACTGGATATCTGGCAATGCTGTATTCACTGAACAAATTCTTCTCTCAGTGTAGACACATGCAGTTACCACAAGTTTTGTTTTTGCTTCCCATCAGATTACATTCCAGTTGCGCCATATTTTAAAGGCACGTTGTGATCCTGTCCCGGCTGCCAACGGAGCAATACGCTTCCATTGTGACCCCACGTTCTGGGCAAAGAACGTTGTCAATTTAGGTGAGAAAATAACTTTTATTGGTGGCATCTGCAAGATTGGGTGGAGGAGGTTTTTCAACGTAATCTAAAGTAATATGAAACAGGAGGGAATGCCTTTCTGTAACCGTCTCTGAAGTAGAGTCCTAATGGAAACGGTTCTGGTAACTGCACGTTCCGTTTCCAGTATGTGGCCACCACAGACTCCTTAATGTTGATGCATGATGTCTCCTCACACTGACCCTGCTAACTGCCCCAAGTGCAGCCCGGCCCAGCCCCCTGCCAGGAAGAGCCCGGCACCGCTCCCGGCCCTTGCATGTAGCAGCAGCCCTTCCTTGCCCCACGCGTGCACGCAGCATCTGTCGTCGACATTCCCGGCCAGATCAGCCAAAAACAGCCAATTGCCGATAATGTCAGTTTTTTCATAGATTCATAGATGTTCGGGTCAGAAGGGACCTCAATAGATCATCGAGTCCGACCCCCTGCACTGGCAGGAAAGAGT